AACCTACATTTTCTTACCGTGGGTGACTTGACTTCTTCTTTTACCGCAACTTGGTGTCAATATCGACGAAAGTCACAGGAAATATGTTCATTTATTGAAGTTTAACTTTATATCCACTCGTCAATATTCTTATCTAAACATGCTATGGACGAATCGATGTCGTTCCAAGCTCCCCGTGCCGGTGTTCCGCTATATTCCTGGGTCGTCCACGGATTTGTCGGCGGAAAACTCAAATAAAGTACGCACCGCGACTTTGGCGACGGCCCGAGACACTTCTGGGATTTTGAAAAATGTAAAAAGTGCGTGCTATATTCGGGAATTTACGGCGTATTTCTTGTAATTCGGTACTACGCGACGCCATATTTTACAAAAGTTTTTCGGTGGCCCTCCCCCAGGCCGATTTTTTTTTTCGATGGCCCTCACCCCATCTCAAATTTTTTTTCCATGGCCCTCCCCCAGGCCAAAAAAATTTTCAACCCGGTAAATATCGTACAGTCCTCTCTCTCGGTCATAGCATGTGTTTATCCATGTAATTCGATAATATGTAGCTTATAGAATTGATTATCCCATGTGGAGATAAGGACGTCCACATGTTATCGTATGACGGAGGTTAGGACTGGTCTCTGTGCTGTAAAAGTGTCTTTTCAGAATTAAACAAAAAAATGAAAAAGAAGACATGATGTTAAAACTTTTACCCTTCAACGAAAAATAACGTTCAAATGAAGAATCGCTGAAGCGGCTGAATCGCTATCGCACAACGTGTGACATCTCTTCACTTACACCCCATTCCTGACACATTGACATCACTTGGGTAACCACGCCGAGTGACGATGATTGTCACTAGCGCATAGCACATAGCGTATATTTATTTGTGCTAAATTTGTGCTAAATTTGTGTTTTCTTGCTGTGTTAACATAGCCTGTGTTACACAAGAGGTTAATGACCCCCACCCACTTCGGGTCGACGACCGCCAGGAGCGCGATTAGTCGGGTTATGTTTAACTCCATGCTGCACAGGTTTGTGCACACGCACGTGCCAAAGTAGTGGGTGCAATTCTGATGCATTCCGCCAGGGGGCGCAGCTGCTTGGAAGTCTTGCTGTTCGTGAGGCTGTGGATGGGGGGAGTTCAGTAGCCTGACGTCCTAGACAGGCAAGGTAGACTGGTAAGGTAGCCTGGTAAGGTAGACAGCCCAGGTTTTTCCGTAAACCCGTTCTTAGGTCCTGTTCGAGAGGTTTGAATAAAGTCTGTTGAGTAGAAGTTATCTCTCTGAGCGGATGTGCCTTCCGTTTGTTTCCTTTGTCCTCCAACACAAGTAAAAATGGTGTTATATTTCACAGTGAACAATGAGCTAATCCTACTGTCTACTTTATGTACTACACATGATGCTGGCATATTCTCTCTGGTTCTCTACCATCTTCAGGAAAACAGCATACTTCTTGTCATGATACCTGTAGAGGAAGAATCATTGCAGGGCATTACACATACGTTTTCGACTTGTAATGATGAAAATCCTCTAAGTCCTGTTGTTGTGCAGCCTTACAAAGGTTTTACGATAGAAAGGACAATTGTTGTTCATTTTGTCAGGCTGCATTCAATGCAATTTCCCAGCAATTGAATTACAAGCAGCTATTACAGAAGGTGTTTGGATAAGCTTTTCAGCTTAATTCCAAAAACAACAGGGTACAGAATTTTTGACTCAAAACTGATGATGAAGACTAATGATCAAATTTCATATGATGGCATAAATTATTTCAGCTCTGCTGACTATGAAAGCCCATGTAGGTCTATCCAGGATGGCAATTGAGCTTCAAAATGAATTTTTGCAAGAGAGAAAAACCCATACCTTCTGTCCTGTAGACTTGGTTGCAACACTGACCCCACCCTAGCCATGCAGCCCATTGCACTCTAGGAAGGTAAAAGAACCAGTATGAGTAATTAAAATTTTAAAAAAGTTCTAGCATTGACAGAATCTTAATTTATGGTTTAGGATTTTATTTTGGATTGAATTTGTAAAAACCCAAGCGAACAATCAGATTGAAATTTTAACTTTGCCGGAGTAACAAATGCTGAGTAAGTTTTAAGAAATAGTATTAAGTCCAAGCTGTATTGTGAGTGGGAACTGATAGCAATTTCAAAGTCTCCCTATTTTTTAGAACAAGTATTTAGTTTCCTCTGATTCTTTCTGTTTTGTTAGATCACTGCATGTCACAGTTGAGGTTGGTGTGGACAGTGTTCAGCACCAAGGATAGGTCTGTTTGCTTTTGTGAAGACAAGGGCTGTGCATCCTCCTTCGCAGGGCTAAAATCCTCCGGTTCCTTCCTTCGGGTTTTAGCCCTGCTATTTACCGCTGACAGTTTGACTTTTGGTGACGTCACCGCCAAACTGCTGTCAGCCAATCAGAGAATTTGCGCACCGAGCTTTGCGCAAAAACCGCAAAGGTCGCTGGGAACCTATTAGCCAATCAGGTTACGTCTTACATTCCCATGTTGGGACAGGCCAAGATGGCGGCTATTACAGATACTAGAAGTTTCGTGCGAGCCGTGCAAGATTTATTTGGAGTCGAGCGGTTTCGTGAGCATCAGCAGTCGACGCTACGGGCGCTGCTTGATGGCAGAGACATTTTTCTGAGTGTGCGGACAGGAGGAGGGAAGAGCCTGTGCTATATGGGCTTCCCAGCAGCGGCCAAAGCCCTGGCCAAAGCCGAGACAGAGTTAGGGCAAGCCCCCCGACATCCGTCTTGGCCAGCCGGTTAAGTTTTGCAAAGCACTCGCGGCAGATGGCGCTTGACAGCCCTTTCCTCGTCCAGACTTTTTTGTCAGGTGTCACGCGCAAAATCTGCCGGATCTGTGCGTGAAGGGAGGTCACGTGAACTGAAAACAGCGAGCGGTAACTTTTTGGAACGACCCCCTTCCCACAAAACAAGCAAATCTTGGTTCCTCCCCCCTCAGCACGCTCCATGCTTCTCTGTTGTTGTTATTCTACCGCGCCGCCATTTTGTAAAGTTGTAATCTTGGCGCTGATTGGTTTGTGCCAAATAAGGCAAGCTCATGAATTATTTATAAGTGACGTCACCAAAAGTCAAACTGTCAGCGGTAAATAGCAGGGCTAAAACCCGAAGGAAGGAACCGGAGGATTTTAGCCCTGCGAAGGAGGATGGGGCTGTGTGATTTCTGGTGCAATTATCTTAGATCCCAATTCACAGCAAACTCAAACTTAGCATGGTTGCCATCCAATTTTTGGGGGGTTGCCGTTACAAATCGGATGGCAGCCAGGATAAATCTAACTACCAGCCAATTGCAATACTTCTCTAAACAGTATCTCTAAACAATAACAACAATTTCTATCTCTCTGCCCACAAGCTGTGCAGTGCAGTTCCCTGGTAAGCGGGTAGGCAATAGGGCTGACCAAGTCAGCTGCTACAGATCTTAACCTGTCTGTTGCCCATATCTGACTGCTGACTGACCTGTATAGTTAGAAAGTCCCCCGAAGCATAAGCTCCAAGAATCGCTGCTCCAACCAGCACTGACTCAGGCTCCTTGGGAAGAACTACAGGCAAGCCTGGGCCGGTGGGGTAAAAAAAAGAATGATTAAATTCAAGCTTGAGAAAATGATAGTAAAAAACAGTCATAATACATTGTATCATCAGTCTATAGTTACCTTAGCAAACCAAGCATAAATGTGCCAAAAATGGATCATTCGTTAGTCATGTGACCTCTGACCTGTGACATCTGCATGAGTCTGTACAAACAAGGGGTTCTTGCTGAGCCCCCCACACATGAACAAGGTGCTGATGTCATGCCCCGCCCCTTGAAGAGCCTCCAGAATGTGTCTGGTGCCATACTGGGTCGAGAGAACATGATTCAGAATTGGATATAGAGTGATGTTTATCACATTGTAAGTTGAAAATCTAGAGAGTGATACAGACTGACAGAGAAATATTGAAAAAACAAATATATTTCCTTTTCTCAACAGTAGAATGAGATATTATTTGGAGGGAGAACTCACTGCCAGGGCTTGTACTGTGGCCAGGTACAGGAGTGCCAGGTCTTGGAGGCCTGCACTCAATCGAAGTCCACAGATCTGCAAACAAAACTTTCTTTCAAACTGTTTGTTGTATACCAATAAACTAATACCTAGATATAGAGATAGATTTACAATTACATCTTACCACCCTTCCTGTCATTGGTGCTGAACGACAGACCATTAACAAAATTCCCCTCAGCTTGTAGGAATTGAAATGTTACTAGGTCAAGTTATTTATTCTCATCTTTTCAACCAAGCTTTCACGTCTGTTTTGGTGATGTTGTCTGTTTTTATACTACATGTATATTTGACATGTAGTATAGACATATTTTCCAAATTTTGACTTGTTGTGGCAATAGATTATAAACAAACTGCAAGTTTACATCAAACATGAAAACCAGGATAGAGAGAAGAAAAAATAACGCTATGTAGAACCTTACCATGCCTGTGAGGGAGGGGTCACCAAGGGGTGACCTGTTGCCATGGTAATCTGGCCAGACGTGGAGACTGCCGACCAGAGTGGCCGGTGACGAGAGGTGCCTGTCTGATGCCAGGCCGGACAGGTACGTGTTCAGGTATTCAGAGACAGACTTTCCACTGAGAAAAACAGACATTCATTAAGGAAGAAAAGAAGTCACTGTGGGGCATTATAAGATGAGACTGTGTCACACAATAAGCGGTGCAATACTAAGTTGTAAGAAAGGTTGGTACAACTTCTTCAAATCATGAACCTGTGGTGAGCTTTTGTAAGATGACCATGAAATGGAAGAATATCTATAATTGTAATAAACTAAAACTGCAGAAGAATTAGCTACACATTTAAAAGACATATCACTACCTGCTCTTGGCCTTCTCCTTCAGTTCTGGAAAGGCAGCGTGGGTCTCTATAACATGGTCTATCTGTCAAAAGAGTTGTCTTTAGAAAGGATGGGAACTTTTACCAACTCAAACAAGACAGCAGATTTCCAAGCTATTGAGCCCTACATGGTACATGTCAGTAAGGCCACAATAACATGTTGGAGGCAATAATTGACTTAGTCATCCTGAAGAAAACCATAAGAAAAACTCTGAATTTTCTGAATATTTTATGTTGGATCAGAAGCCTTCAAAGGTTTTTTTAAAAAGTCTGTCTTTCTACTGACCACTTTTCCGGTTGCACTCTGCCCTCCCTCGTTGAGCCAGAGGCCTGGCACCATAGCGGAGAAGTAAGGGCCCCACACACCTGGCACAAAGATGGCGTCCTTACTGAGCTGAAGGTCAAAAATACTCTAGGTCAAACATGGTCCTTCTAAATGAGTCACTATATTGAAAGTAGCAGAATGGTTGAATGGGAAACAGTTGGTAGTGTCACATGAAATGAAAACCAACCTATAGTGGGTACCTGTGTCAGTGAAGATGGGGAAAATGACATTGTACAAAATAACGTATAAACTGGTTGATGTACCTCTTTCCAGCCCAGAAAAGAACAAGAAATAGTCATGCCTTCAAAAGTACAAGAATTATCAACTATGGATTCAGGTGTTAAAAAAACTTTTTTTCCTAGAACTATCGTAGAGTGGAACTGCCACCAAGTACAGTAGGTGCATCATCACTAGGTAGCTTAAACAATGCTTAGATTTAGATGTGCAAAGGCTAGGTGTAACAAGCTACACAGACAGTTTAGATGTGAAATTAAAAATTTACTTACAGCCATATGACAGGAGGATGTGCCACATATAAGGGAGAGCCGGGCTGTGATTGGTTGATTTTCACATGGCAGGTTATGACCTTTGACATCTGCTCCTACCATTCCTGAAAGAAAAATTCCACTGCTTTAGAAAGCATTTCACACAACATACTTGTAGTACAGTACTAATCATAATAACATAACACATCTGCATTGCCGCAACATTCTAAATTCTACGAATCTTTTGGAGAGTTTTTCCCAAATCTTATGAAAATCTGTTTATAAATGCCTTGATGGTCAAGACTTAACAAAGAAATACTGGTGAAATCAGTTAATCTTTGGGGGTAACTTGAAGTACCTAGTCCCCCTGCATGTGCATCTATGAGTGAGGTCCCCACAGCTGTGCCCTCTGCCAGTCCCAGTTCTACAGCAGCAGACTTGGTCAACCCCTTTCCTACCCTCTCACCAGGGGACTGGACTGCACAGCCTGTAGGCAAAGAGATAGAAATATTGGAGTACGAGTGATTGCTAGTGAGTCATAGGCAGTGATGATTGATTAATTTGTCTACCACTGATTTTTATATGACTTCAAATAATTTGCATGCATATGGTGTAAACAAAAAACAGCTAGGAATCACTCATATTGGCTTGTAATGTAGTAATGTTTGCCTGTGAATCAGGACATGAAAGGATTGTACTTGATATTACTCTTCGGTAGACAGCCCTAGTTTACACACTAGCAAACGGAACTGTCCTTGGTGCTGAACACTGTCCATACCAGTTATTTTTGTGTCTGGAACTCTGCACAATGGCAAGAAACATTTCAACTTTACAATTTACTTTAAGTAAGTTTAATCAGCACTGTTAGCCTGGGACAATACTATTCTACCTTAAGTGTGGGTGAAATTTTATGCTAGTTCAACACAATACCAATTTTTGCATAGTTATCTGAGACAAGATCTGCTAGTCCAATCTCCTGCCAGAAACTGTCACTCCACTCGTCAGATGCAGAATATGTCCACTTGCATATCAGACTACACAGGGACCTGCAATACAATAGAGAAGAAGAAACTGTAAGGAATATGATGATTTCTGCTGTTACAACACAAAGGAAAACAGACATGTCCATAGTGCTGAACACCATCCACAAATCAAAAACCTACCTGTCCTTAGTGCTGAACACTATCCATACACAGGCAAACATTCCTGTCCTTGGTGCTGAACACCATTCACAAACAAGCAAACACACTTGCCCTTATACAGGCAGACACATCCTTAGTGCTGAACACCATCCTCACACAGGCAAACATACCTGTCCTTAGTGCTGAACACAATCCACAAATAGGACCTGTCCTTGGTGCTATCCATACACTATCCATACAGAGTATGGTGTTCAGGAACAGATACAAGGAATGTAGGTGAGAACTAGCTAGAATGTGTTTGACACTCAGGAAATGATATCAATCTGACCTGGAAGCACTTCCTGTGGCTCTCCATGTTAGATAGTCAGGTAATTCAAACATGTGACCTGCCTTCTCCCAGCATGCCTCACCAAGATTCTGTTGACAGACAAAAAGGAGCAGATGTATTGCAACAACATTTAAGAGCAAAATTCCATCTAAGAGAGAAAAGATCATAGCATAGCCTGCAGAAAATCTGTAATAAGCTCTTTAAGGTAATGCAAATATTAACTGTTACATTTCAGTTGTGAATTTAAGCTTGACATTGGAGCACAGAATGTTGTCTTTCCATAAGAAAATGATCCTAGCAATGGAAAAAACTTAAAAAAAAAGTAGCAATATCAAAATCAAGACCTTGCTGAATACACAAATATGACAACATATGATGTAAGTTACCTCTTTTAGCCAGAGTAGTTTGGGTGGTGCCATTTCTGGAGAGATTGCCCCACCTACGTATTTCAGGACGGCATGATGGGTAGTATTTATCCTCTCTGCCTGCTCCGTAGCTCGATGGTCCATCCATAGAACAATGTTCTGTTCATTCTCTCCTAAAACAGGGAAACACAGAATATAACTTGTAAAACTTGTAGAAGACTTTGCAAAAGTCATGTCAAAGAATACTGCATATTGTTTTGTCAATGACTTAAGTTAACATGTTGAGTTGTTGATAAAAAGAGACTCCTACCTGATTTGCTGACAGTGAGAGGTTTGCCCTCAGTGTCCAGCAGGACCAGTGAACAGGTCGCATCAAACCCAACCCCACGCACCTGGGTCACCTCCACTGTTGATGTCACTTTCTGCAAATGGCAGAAATAACACACCTTAATGTTGGAATTTTCTTATACACAACCAGTACTTCTCTCATCTTATTTATGTTTCAATGTCTAACAGACACCTTACCAAGAGCTAATCAAGGGTAACCATAGCCCTAATTTAGGGTTATACTACACGCTCATTACCATAACCCTAATTTAGGGTTACCCTAAGATGTACCGTTACGTACCAGTGTAATGGATGTAATTTCCGTGCATTCTCCTAGAGGGCACAGCTGCTTGGATGTCTTTTTTCTTCATGAGAATATGAATGGGGGGACCTGAGTACTAAGCCTGACACGCTAGCCTGGCCTGGTGGACAGGCAAGGTAGACTGGCCAGGCAGGCACCCAGGTTTTTCTGTAAACCCTCACCTTGACAACTGTGCAGCAGGCAGCCCAGATGTCATCTGATGATTGCTGGTAGAAGTCTGGCTGGGGGTTCCATGTTTGGATGGGATGTTCCGCTCTGGATAGTACCCGTCCCGTTCTGTCAACAAGAGCTGCACGAGCGCTCCCCGTACCTACGTCTACTCCCACATAGTACCGCTCTGCATCAATCATGCTCAGCTACAGAGCTGGAAAACAATTGAGCTGAAATCTATTGTAGTCCCAGTGTATTAGAACAAGGAGGTTAAAAATCCTCCTTCAATGGTAAGAATATTAACACATTTATTTAAGACATGACAACCTTCAACTCTGCTGTAAAACTATGATTAAAAGTTATCACATAATCCTTGAAAATCAGGCAGATTCACTGTTTCAGATGCATAATTTGGAAGAGTTAACGTTAATATGATAACATATGATATACTTTTGATAACATGTGAAGATGTTAGCTTTAACTTTAAATAGTATGCAAAAGTTATTATCAATATCTTGAATCATGCAATATACCAATCACTAAATTAATCAATCAGTAATTAGGATCGCTTACAGTTTCACAAAAGGTTACTCTAAGATGATGATGACTTTGAACGCCACCAAAAACCCGTGACAAACTTCGCGGCAAGCGACCTTTGACCAGCCATATGCGGTGCCCTTTAACCTTTCACCTGACCTGAACCTGACACAAAATGGCGGTGGAAGACGTGATCGTGGAACCGTGGTACATGATGCAGATGGTACAGGCCTTTCTACAGGTAAATACCGCTTCAAAGAGCTTCTACGTGTTACTGATATAGTGTTCAATCACTATAGAATCATGTTTTACTCGTATGATGCTGCGTAGAGCAGCGATTTACATACAAACGTGACGTTACACAACAGGCGTTCTTTTTCTTATTTTTACCGTTGCGTTGTGGCGTGATTTCTCGAGCCACGCTTACTTTTAGGTATTACCTACATCTCCCAACTTCTTATTGGATAAATCTGTTGGACAACAAGTACTTTATGTCGTATAACATCAAACAACATCAAACAAACGAGCAAACAAGAAAGTTTTGATCGAAGGGGGTACGGTGTTGTTAGGGACAAACCAAAAACGATGATGAGGGGTGCAAAATAATTTTTTTTAGATGGGTTTGTACTTTCATTAATGTCATTTTTCATTGTTTGCCTTTTAGAATTTTATTTATAATTCTACAAAGTGTAATTCCCATTTTTATGCACCCACAATATTATTTTCCTGAAATACAGCCTGCCATTCATACTTGTTGCCACCCTGCTACAAATTGTGTCAGCTTAAACAGCTATCCCCACAAATTATGTAAAATTAAAAGAGCTCACCTGTACAATTAGCACAACCAATTATACAATTTTATGATGCCACAGCCAGCAAGTGGTAGGCTAAATGCAGGTGATAGTTGCCTGATTGTCTTACCAATAATTTGCATACGCCCACCAATAATTTGTGAATGCTTACTATGCTTAATCCTGATGTCAACAAAAACAGTGATCACACGTATTAAAATCACTATTATAACAATTAACTCTCCCTGCAGGCCCCAGTGTACCACATCGTGATTGAGGTGCTGCTGATCGTGTGGATCATCGGTCTGCTGTTCTCTAAGAGCTACAGGATCCAGGAGAGGGTACAGCTCACAGAGAAGGTGACATCAGCTAACACAGTCAGATTTACAGTAGACAAGTGGGCTAAAACATTGGATCTACAGTAGAAATGTTCAAACTAGACCAAGAATTAAACACTGATTTGTATTGACCTCTTGCTGAATTCTTGTGCAAAAAGTGTCCATCCAAGAGCCAAGGAAGTAAATTGGTGTATTTAATTTAACTCTACATGAATATTACATTTGTTTGTCCATGCAATTCTTGTGCTATCAGTTATCACATTCTGTATGACTCCTTTGGCCAAATGATGATATGGCCATTTATCAAAAGGTATTTAGGGGGGAGGCAGGACACCACAATCACCAAATGTTTTAAGTTGGATCATAATTATGTGTTGAATGAATTTGATGTATCTTCCTTGTTGTAGGAGAAAGAAGACCTGTTGGCTGAATGGCAGCCAGAGCCGCTGGTACCTGACACCCCCGAGGACCACCCAGCCTTACACCCACGGGTTGTCTCTGGGTCAGTGTCATGTTTGGTTAGGTTATGCCATAACAGAAAGGGAGCATTGTAAACATACATGTTACGATGATGTATTATGCCTGAATGTATGTCAAAAAGAGATGTAAATTTGTTGAATCAAACAAGCCAAAATCTATCTTTTGAGAAGTTCTCAATCTTTATAAGTATTCATGCTTCTAATACATTTGTGTAATTTTGGGTCAGTTCATGAACATTCATCTACATCTCATTACACCAATTTTTAAAACTATGATACCAAAAAGCCATTTGTTTACCCTGTAGACAGTTATCATTATGTAGTTGTGGTCTGAGCGTGCTCCACAGAGTCCAGTCCAGAGTCAGAGTTGTGATCGTGACTGTTGATTGGCTGTGGTTTTCAGGAAAGCAGGGTTAAAGGTTGTGGTGGATGGGAAGGAGTGTCTGAACCTGGCGACCCTCAACTTCCTAGGCATGCTGGGTAATAAACGGATTGAGGTAAGACATATACATTGTATATCTGTTTGTTACAGCTTTAAGTATGATTACAATGAGATACCAGATATTTCGGGTTTCCCATTGCTATGTGTTCTACTGACACATAGACACATAAAGCAGAGTCTTCACCAACGTGCTGTTCAAAAACACAAGTATGGAGCAGTTTTTATTTGTCTTTCCTCTCCCCATGTAGAAAGCTGCCAACTCAGCCCTGTATAAGTACGGTGTCGGATCCTGTGGACCCCGTGGCTTTTATGGAACTGTGGGTAAGTAAAAAAGATCAGTCAATGGATTAGCTTGAACCCTTCATATCTAGTTAATTCTCATCCTATGAATGATAAGGAAAGATGCCGGCATGTCTGAATACCAATGTTGAAAAGAAAGTGTTTCTGGACCAAGATATCTATGTTTCCAGTTTATAATTACCAAATCCTTCATTCTTTCTTTGTTCTCTCACTTTGCAGATGTTCACCTTGACCTTGAGGATAAACTTGCCAAGTTCACGAGAACAGAAGAGGCTATCCTGTATGCCTATGGCTTTGCCACCATTGCCAGCGCTATCCCTGCTTACTCCAAACGGGGTGATATTGTCTTCTGGTATGACACATGATTGTTTGCTTTTTCGTCCCAGAAGTAGAATTTATATAACGTTCTTCTTAATACCTCAATCTGGTATTAGAGTGTTAAAAAAATTTTGGTAAGAATTTTATAACAAATACAATATATTGTCTTATTTTGCAGTAATTTTATCCAGATTTTGATGTAGAATGTACTATGAACATGTATATTTCACCAGGTATATTTCACCCTGTTTTGCCACCCTTACCTCACCCTCTCCAGTGATGAGGGAGCCTGCTTTGCCATCCAGAAAGGCCTGCTAGCCTCCCGCAGCAAAGTGGTGTACTTCAAACACAACGACATGGAAGACTTGGAGAGACTTCTCAAGGAACAGGCTAAGGATGACAAGAAGGTGTGGAAAGCTGTAGTGCCATTTTTTTTGTTTGGGTCATTAATAAGAAAAACCTAAGCTGAAGGATCATTAGAAACATGAGATTTCTTCTGTATGCAATGTTTGAGTGCTAATGTCTTGTTTCTTCATACAGAACCCCAAGAAGGCTGCTGTCACCCGGAGGTTTGTGTTAGTGGAGGGGATCTACATGAACTATGGAGACATTGTCCCCCTACCAAAATTGGTCAGTACTGCAGGATAACCGTAATTTTGACCTTATAGTGTTTCCGTGCGTCTTTACAAAGTTCTAATCACTTTCATAGAGATCTAATTACCCATGTCAAAATGGCCTTCATTTGTGAACAGGAAAAATGAAAGATTATACTTGGATTTTGTAATTTCATCATGTTGCTGCCAGTCCTTTAGCTAGGAATAATGTTAACATGTTTGGTCTAGATTCAAAATGGGCAATCCTTTTTTACCAGCTTTTGTATGAGATTACGAACATGTAGGTCATATGGAGAAAGTAATGTTACATTTACAAAGAAAAGCATCATGAGATCTACATGTTTGTGTTCTCTTGTTCTAGGTTGAGCTGAAGTACAAGTACAAAGTGAGAATCTTTATAGAGGAGAGTCTTTCCTTCGGAGTGCTGGGAGACAATGGCAGGGGGGTCACAGAGCACTTTGGTGTTCCGGTCAGTTGGTTTATATGTTCATTATTATTGTTTTTGCTCAGTTTCCTCTTCTTCTTCTTCTCCAAACACTTACCTCTGACCTGGTCAATGATCTGAACCAGACCGTCTCTCACCATGGTAACTGGTGTTGGGTTACATCATGTTGAAGTTTTATAGCAGGAGGTATTTAGACTCCTGTCACCAAATATATGTGAATGTGTTCGAGTAAGAATTAACAAAACAGACCGTATGTGAAGGTTAACATTATGCATTTACTTTGCAAATGTTACCTTCTAGTTTACTCATTAATTCCTGATTTCCTACAAAGGTAAATAAAACATTCTGTTATGTGAGAAACATAAGGACTCATCACTCTTGTGCCCTTTTCCTTCTAAGATAGAAGACATTGACCTGATCAGTGCTAACATGGAGATGTCCCTGGCATCTATCGGTGGTTTCTGCTGTGGAGACTCTTTTGTTATCGACCATCAGGTACGTTAGCACCTCCTCAACAATACAGGGTGCCCTAGTGTTTTTTTTCTTATTGTGAGCAATGGTTTGGATTTTCAGAATTTTATGCAAATCCGAGGTTTATGCCAATGTCGGTGATGCACACAGTCGGTGTCTACTATACCCACTCACTCACACTCACACTCACTGCACGGCTTAACGTCCGTTGTTCCCCGTCATGCATCAGAAATCAGAAATACAGTGAACAGATTTCTACCTACAGTAACCTGCAAATGTCATGTTAAAACTAACATACATATTCCACATATCATTTTATGATATCACAAAGTATTGTTGATCAAAACAAAGTACATAATGTACATGAATTATGTTTCTCCCACCTCAGCGACTGTCAGGCCAGGGCTACTGTTTCTCAGCCTCTCTCCCCCCCATGCTGTCAGTGGCAGCTTCCGAGGCTCTCCTCATCATGGAAGAGAAACCTGGTAAGGTCCAACTTTGTTTGGGGAGGGACAGGTTGTACCTGTTTCTAAAGCCCCTGTTATAAATAGGCAAATATAGCCTCCTGAACACTGCCAAACTCCCCTCAACCACGTTTAGGAGTAGGACAGGAGCAAGGTCGGCTGGTGTTTGGTAAGGTTGGCTACTGTCCGGCTGCACTAGGCCAATGTTGCAAACATTTGGGTGTTAACGGGAGTTTCAGTGGTTAGCTGGAGTTTAGGGGTTGGTCATCAGCAGTGTTTGGGGGTACAAGACTAGTAGTATTGAAATTTGTAGTCTCATCAGTCAGTGACTGTCTACAAAAATGTAAAGTACCTGCTAAAGTTGATTCCCAAATGTTTGGTACATGTTAGAATGTTTCCCTATAAACTATAAATCAGGAAGTGCTGTACAATATTCAAACAATACTTGTTGCTGGTCTTCAGGTATATTTGAAGAGCTGAGGACAAGATGCAAGTGGCTGCATGCAAAATTGTCAAGGTGAGTTTCTTCCGTAAAAAATGTAAGAAAATATGCTTTCAACTTTTCATTTTGCCATTTTTGACCTAGATCTTCATTCTGCCTTTTTAGTGGAATTTTATGTGTTCAACAAAGTGATAGGCACTGGTTATGTCAATCCTTCCACAATGTGTTATACATGTAATTCTCAATAAATAGATGTAGAGATAAAGTCTTGCTTTGACCTTTTATAACATTCCTGTGTTGTTTGTACAGTATTCCAGGACTGAAAGTATGCGGAGAGCCCATATCCCCCATCATGCACTTGCAATTGGCAGCCCAGTCTAGTCGCACAGAGGACACAACAAAGCTTGAGACTATTTGCAATGAGGTAATAGAAATTTAGGTGATCACTGGCATCAGTATTAGCATAATGTAGGAATGTACATGTATTAAAGGTATCCAATGCAGTTTTAGGGCTTGAAAACCAGATTTTTCAAAGTCAATGTTCTAGTCACTTGTGTGCATACCAAATTGAAACAACACTATCTCATTGTATGTCGACATTCATGGGAACAAAAATGCAGAAAATTGTGATGGAATCCAGTTACTGGTAGGATCCCGGGCTGATTTTTGGGTACCACCCAGAAAATAAAGGACTCATCTTGGGATCTTGATTCTGCACTGTATCAGATGCCCAATATGTAAAACTACTGATGCAAATGTGCTTATGTGGGGCACATAATAAAAAGATAGCCTTATTCAGAATATTTCCAGTTTTGCCGCCCTGAAATGGCATTGGATGCCTTTAAACATTTGCATATGAGCATTTCATCTTGGCAAATTTGTCAAAAATGATAATCCCCAACTTATGTTTCTCTCCTTGCAGTGCATGAACCAGGGCGTGGCTCTGACTGTGGCACGTTATCTGGAGGGGGAGGAACATCTGCTGCCACCTCCCAGGTAAGATGTCTCTGGAACTACATTTGTACTAACTGCAACAGGCTTATGTTTTCTTAACAACTAATTGTAGTAGTGACTACTTTTTTGGCTCTTTATTCACAACCACCTGTTTACAATAGCCCATGTTTGGATGACCGTCTGTCATCTTCATCAAGGCTAAAATGACTGGTTCAGTGTGCACTGAAGCTACATGTAGGTGTTATTGGCTTCAGAAATCAGGTCACATTCTGCATGCTTGTATCTTACACTTCTGATGTTTTTACCTTAAGATTTGTTGTCAAGTTTGAAGTGCTTGTTTGAGAAATTTTCAATGCTTATTTTCCTCTTCCAGCATTCGGATAGCCGTGAATGTGGAGCTGACAGAAGATGACATCAATGACGCAACCTCCGTCATCACAAACGTGGCCAAGATGGTTTTATAAGGGAATGCCAGTCACCATGTTTCTTGAAGTCTTTGTCCAAATTCTGAGAACAGCATTAACAAAACTGTAAACTTGTGATACACTACAAAACTTAATACAATGTTTCTGTGTACAAGTATAATTTACGATCAGTAAAAAATTGGGGGGGG